AAATGTAGTCATATATACAGTTAAGAATTATTTGTTTGAAGTTAAGCACAAAGCTACACTATGAACTATTTGTGCTCTTCTCACCACTATGGGTATCGAAACTCGGTTTTTAGCGATGAAGTTCGCAGACAATACGCGATGTCACTAGGGGGCACAGGTAAGAAATTTCTCAATCACTTTTGAAGACGTTCAAGTTGTTATAATCACATGAAAATCACTTATTTTTTGGTGTATTAATTGTATTTTCATCTTTTAATTAAACGTAATTCGGGATTTACTTTCTGGTAAACGAAGAGGTTTTTTAATACCAGTTTAAAACAAAAAGTTAAAACAGTAATATCACTTTTATATTATGCTTTGGTAAAAATATATTTGATCTAAATAAAATGATGCGTTTTCTATGATTTTGTGACATAATTATTTGTTGGATGTAAGCTATTGCAAAACTTCAACCTCGCACGTGGCATTCGTGCAGCTCTGCTCATATCGAATGTCGCTGCCATCTGCCTGTACGCCTTGACCGCGATGCAGCGATAAAGACAACAATGCACGTTCTTAGAGAGGGCGACGCGTTTCGTTACGCCCTAAACTTACTATAAATCTCAATAACTGCAGAATAGAAATTGGTAGATTCCCTAATTTCAAATGACTGTAAAAATTGTTAAGAGAATGTGGTGGGAAGTGAACGTTAGCATTTTTTTTTAAACGTTTACGAAACATACGCTTACCTAGTTCCCATTTTAATATTGACAATACAGTCATTCAAAAAGGAACATAATCCTTATCCTTTAGTAGGGAAGATTAGGATTAACAACGACGAGTCTCTAAAGGATGTAAGCAGATTTGCAGAGTAGACTTTAAGGACTCTCACTGTTGCATGTCTTTTTGTGTCGAGCCTTATTTGATTAGCCTCTGTTTAGTCTTTTGTATGTAATAAGCACTTTAGACACTTGTTACAGAATGAAGAAAAATATTCGTCTGAAAAAAAAAATTACAAACAAAGCGCCCTCTAGTGGATTGTTATATTTTTGTTTAATATTTAAATGTGTGATCTTTTTTTCTTCTTTTTTTTTTCAATATGAAAACTAGCTGCTCATGTCTCATCAAATAAAAATAGAGATGTAGAAGAAATGCCTAGATTTCATTTTGATAATAATATTATATTTCGATGTTTGGATCAACACTTTAAATAACAGCTTCAGCTTCGTGTACTCTTGAAATTTCTAAGTTATATCCTCCAGAGCTACGGCGGCATTTAATCTTCTTAATTATTTCACAGACTACTAGCTTCTTGTAGGGAATATTCAAGGTGCTACTATGGAAGACACAACCCCCGTCAAATTAGCTTTAGTTGTCTCTTTGCATTCGAGGATACTATCTGTCTATTTTGTAATCCTTCTCTTGACATGATCCGATTGGGTATGCTATTCTGTTGCCTGGGAATTAAATTTTATTGGCACATGCGGTGCGACATAAGTCGTCTGGCCTAATCCTTCCTTACTGCATGTGTTCCATCCAGCTAATCTGGCGAGCCCGGAGCACGAGCGAAGGCACGAGCTTGTTCGCGCTAGAGCAAGGGCGTGCAGGGTATCGCTTGAGCTTTCCGTTATTGTTGGTGGAATTAAATGTCGAGAGATTACCGGGGTTTGATGGCAGAGTGTAAGCTTCTTTAGTGCGTTACGTCAAGTTGTAGCGGCCCACGTAGAACGCTTACAAGGGTTAAGTTTCGTTGTTGGAGTTTGTGGATGAATTAGCTTTATTGGGAGTTAAGTTAGTTCTTCGATGAAAGGTTCAAGTTGAAATCAATAAAAACTTTCTTAATACCCTTCTTATCGCAGCAAATGTTATACATAAACTTTTGTAAGCAAGTAACTAAGGGTAAACCTTATAAATACGACAGGCTTTTCTTTTTTTGCTAGGAAATACCTAATCACGTATAATACTTTAAATCCAGAGTTCTATTCTTGCAAAGTAACAAAATCTGCTAAGCATCTCTTGTCTGTCTGTTTGGTTGTTTAAACTTAATAACAAATCGATTTTCTCCATTAGTTTAATGTTTTAAATAAAACTGAGTTGTGGTAACGTACGTGTTCATTTGTAATATTAGTGAAAACTGAAAAACAAGAAACAGTATATGAAAATGTCACCAACAGATGGCGCCACACAAAATAAAGCCATATGTTTCGTATAAAAATTTTCTGAAATATTAATGTAATATTTAAAACAAATAACATTTATTAAGTATCTAATAACAAATGCTATAGTTTAATAATAGTTCTTTAAAAGACGCGATTGCTATGATCTGAAGTAATTTGCATGATTCAGTGAAAACATTAATTATAGTAGAGGTCCTTATCAGTTGAGGTGAGTTTCACCATATATTATAACTACAAGTAAAGTCAAAGTTTAGATTACTCCCACCCCTCTTCGGTGGCTCAGCTCAAGTCTGAGGACTTATAAAACTATAAATCAGGTTTCGATACCCGCGGTGGGCAGAGTATAGATAACCCATGGTATAGCTTTGTGCTTAACAAAAACAAACAACTTCAGTCGGATTGAAATAGGTTGTTTTGTTGTTGTTGTTTTTTTACTTGTGACCTTCTTATTTTTCAGTTTCATTATGTCAATCTGCAAAAGAGGTGGAGAGTGAACCAATGGTTCAACATTCGTGTTCCGTTATCGAAAAAGAAAAGAAATGCACGTCGTATTCTAGGGTCGTTTTTGTTTGAAGTTAACCACAAAGCTACACGAAGAGCTGTCTGTGCTCTGCCCACCATGGGTATCGAAACTCGGTTTCTGGCATTGTAAGTCCGCATACATACCGCTGTGCCACGCTGGGTCACGGCGATAACAGTGATGGTCAAATCTCATTATTTGGTCCAGCATGGCGAGGTGGTTATGGCGCTCGACTCGCATTCTGAGGGTCGCGGGTTCGAATCCCCGTTCCACCAAACATGCTCGCCCTTTCAGCTGGGGGGAGGGGGCGTTATAATATGACGGTAAATCCCACTATTCGTTGGTAAAAGAGTAGCTCGAGAGTTGGTGGTGGGTGGTGATGACTAGCTACCTTCTCTCTAGTCTCACACTACTAAATTAGGGACGGCTGGCGTAGATAGCCCTCGTG